CTTAAGGGGGAGAGTGAGCAGCCAGAAGTCGTGGTACACATCGTTACCAATGACATAACTCGGAAAAGGCATGAGGTCTGAAAAGTGAATGTAGGGAGTTAGGATGGAAGCTAAAACCCAGGACAAGCAGAGTAGTAATCCCAGGATTACTAGCCACAGGCTAGTGAGACCAGAAACCGAGAGTGAGTGCAACTGAACATGTGGCTACAGAACTGGTGTAGGAGGGAGGGCTTCAGGTTTGTGGATCATTGGGATACTTTCTGGGGAAGGTGGGACCTGTACAGGAAGGACGGGTTGCACCTGAACTGGAGGGGCACCAATATCCTGGGCGGGAGGTTTACTAGAGCTCTTCGTAGGGTTTAAACTAGTTTGGCAGGGGGATGGGAACCGGATCTATGGATCAGAGGATGGGGTAGCCGGTGTGCAGGCAGGTACAGCATGCACAAAGTCTGTGAGGAAGGATAAGCAGTTGATAGGGCAAAGTTGCTGTCAATATGACGGGTTGAAATGTGTCTATTTTAATGCAAGGAGTGTCAGGAATAAGGGTGACAAACTTAGAGCATGGATCAGTACTTGAAACTGTTGTGGCCATTGTGGAGACTTGGATAATACAGGGGTAGGAATGGTTGTTGGATGTTCCGGGGTTTAGATGTTTCAAAAGAAATAGGGAGGGAGGTAAAAGAGGTGGGGGAGTGGCATTGCTAATCAGCTGCAGAAAGGGAGGTCGTGGAGGAGGGTTTGTCCACTGAGTCAGTATGGGTGGAAGTCAGAAACAGGAAAGGAGCAGTCACTTTATTGGGAGTTTTCTATAGGCCCCCCAATAGCAACAGAGACATTGAGGAACAGATTGGGAGGCAGATTGTGGAAAGGTGCAGAAGTAATAGGGTTGTTGTCATGGGCGACTTCAACTCCCCTAATATAGACTGGAAGCTCCTAAGTGCAAATAGTTTGGATGGAGCAGATTTTGTCAAGTGTGTCCAGGAAAGATTTCTGACTCAATATGTAGATAGGCCGACTAGAGGGAGGCCATATTGGATTTGGTGCTTGGTAGCGAACCAGGCCAGATGTCCGATCTCTCAGTGGGAGGGCATTTCGGTGATAGTGATCACAACTCCCTGACCTTTACTACAGTCATGGAGAGGGATAGGAGCAGACGGTGTCGGAAAGTATTTAATTGGGGGAGGGGGAATTACAATGCTATTAGGCAAGAACTGCGGAGCATGAATTGGGAACAGATGTTCTCATGGAAATACACAATAGAAATGTGGAAGTTGTTTAGGGAGAACTTGCTACGAGTACTGGATAGGTTTGTCCCACTGATGCAAGGAAAGTATGGTAAGGTGAAGGAACCTTGGATGACAAGACATGTGGAACATCTAGTCAAGAGGAAGAAGGAAGCTTACTTAAGGTTGAGGAAGCAAGGATCAGACACGGCTCTAGAGGTCTACAAGGTAGCCAGGAAGGAACTGAAGAATGGACTTAGGAGAGCGAGAAGGGAGCATGAAAAAGCCTTAGCGGGTAGGATTAAGGAAAACCCCAAGGCATTCTATGCTTATGTGAGGAACAAGAGGATGGCCAGAGTGAGGTTAGGGCCGATCAGGGATAGTGGAGGAAACTTGTGCGCGGAGTTGGAGGAGGTAGGGGAGGTCCTTAATGAATACTTTGCTTCAGTATTCACCAGTGAGAGGGACCTTGACGTTTCAAATTTGTCAATCAAATTGTCAATCAAATTTTTCAAATTTGGATTCTGGATTCAGAACTGGCTGACCCTTAGAAGACAAAGGGTGGTAGTGGACAGAAAATATTCAACATGGTGCTCAGTTACGAGTGGTATACCACAAGGATCTGTTCTGGGTCCTCTTCTATTTGTGATTTTTGTAAATGATTTGGATGTAGGAGTGGAAGGGTGGATTAGTAAGTTCGTGGACGATACGAAGGTGGGTCACGTTGTGGACAGTACGGAGGGCTGTTCTAGGTTACAAAGGGATATTGATAGGATGCAGAGCTGGGCTGAGAAGTGGCAGATGGAGTTTAACCCTGAAAACTGTGAGGTGATTCATTTTGGAAGGACAAATTTGAAAGCAGAATACAGGATTAACGGAAAGATTCTTGGCAGCGTGGAGGAGCAGAGGGATCTTGGGGTTCATGTCCACAATTCCCTGAAAGCTGCCACCCAGGTGGATAGAGTTGTTAAGAAGGCGTACGGTGTGTTAGCTTTCATTAACAGAGGGATTGAGTTCAAGAGCTGTGAAGTTATGCTCCAGCTATACAAAACCCTGGTTCAGCCACATCTGGAGTATTGTGTCCAGTTCTGGTCGCCTCATTACAGGAAAGATGAGGAAGCGTTGGAAAAGGTGCAGAGGAGATTTACCAGGATGTTGCCTGGAATGGAGGGAAGGTCTTATGAGGAAAGGTTGAGAGAGCTACGGCTTTTCTCTTTAGAATGACGAAGGATGAGAGGTGACTTGATAGAGGAGTACAAAATGATCAGAGGTATAGATAGAGTGAACAGCCAGAGACTTTTTCCTAGGGTGGAGGTAGCTATTACGAGGGGGCATAGTTTTAAAGTGAGTGGAGGTAGATATCGGGGAGACATCAGAGGTAGGTTCTTGACTCAGAAAGTGGTCGGGGCGTGGAATGCATTGCCGGAGAGGGTAGTGGAGTCGACCTCATTTGGGGCATTTAAGTGGCTATTAGATAGGCATATGGATGATAGTATAATGTAGGGGTGGAGGTTAAATAGACCTTAGGATTAGGGTAAAAGTTCGGCACAACATCGTGGGCTGAAGGGCCTGTACTGTGCTGTACTGTTCTATGTTCTATGTTTGTGAGGACAGCGTGAAACAGGCTGATATGCTCAAACAGGTTGATGTTAGGAAGGAGGATGTGCGCGAAATTGTGAAAAACATGAGGATAGATAAGTCCCCTGGGCCAGACGGAATATACCAAAGGTTTCTACAGGAAGCGAGGGAAGAGATTGCTGCCCCTTTGGCAATGATCTTTGTGTCCTCACTGTCCACTGGAGTAGTACCAGATGATTGGAGCTTTGCAAATGTTATTCCCTTGTTCAAGAAAGGGAATAGGGATAATCCTGGGAATTCTCGACCAGTCAGTCTTACTTCTGTGGTGGCAAATTATTGGAGAGGACTCTGAGAGAGAGTATTTATGATTATTTGGAACAGCACAGTTTGATTAGAAATAGTCAGCATGGCTTTGAGAGGGGCAGGTCATGCCTCACAAGCCTGATTGAATTCTTTGAGGATGTGACAAAACACATTCATAGAATCGAATCCCTACAGTGTGGGGACAGGCCCTTCGGCCCAACAATGCCACACCAAACCTCAGAGCATCCCTCCCAGACCTGCCCCCGTGTCACCCACCTAATCTACACATCGCTGAACACTATTGGCAATTTAGCATGGCCAATCACCTAACCTGCACATCTTTAGACTGTGGGAGGAAACCGGAGTACCGGGAGGAAACCCACGCAGACACGGGGAGAAAGTGCAAACTCCACACAGACAGTCGCCAGAGGCTGGAATCAAACCTGGGTCCCTGGTGCTGTGAGGTAGCAGTGCTAACCACTGAGACACTGTGCCGGTCCAATTGATGAAGGTAGAGCAGTGGATGTGGTGTATATGGATTTTAGCAAGGCGTTTGATAAGGTTCCACATGGTAGGCAGGATTCAGGGAAATTTGTCTGTCTGGATACAGAATTGGCTGTCCAACAGAAGACAGAGGGTGGTAGTAGATGGAAAGTATTCAGCCTGGAGCTCGGTGACCAATGGTGTTCCGTAGGGATCTGTTCTGGGACGTCTGCTCTTTGTGATCTTTATAAATGACTTGGATGAGGAAGTGGAAGGGTGGGTTAGTAAGTTTGTCGATGACACGAAGGTTGGTGGAGTTGTGGACAGCGTGGAGGGCTGTTGTAGGTTGCAACGGGACGTTGACAGGATGCAGAGCTGGGCAAAGAAGTGGCAGATGGAATTCAACCCAGAAAAGTGTGAAGTGATTCATTTTGGAAGGTTGAATTTGAATGCAGAATACAGGGTTAATGGCAGGATTCTCGGCAGTGTGGAGGAACAAAGGAAAGGTTGAGGGAGCTATGGCTTTTTTCATTGGAGCGAACAAGGATGAGAGGTGACTTGGTAGAGGTTTACAAGATGATGAGGCATAGATAGAGTGGATAGTCAGAGACGTTTTCCCAGGGCAGAAATTACCATTACGAGGGGCCATGATTTTAAGGTGATTGGAGGAAGGGAGAGGGGAGATGTCAGAGGTAGGTTCTTCACACAGAGAGTGGTGGGTGTGTGGAATGCACTGCTGGCAGTGGCAGTGGCAGTGGAGTCAGATACATTAGGGACATTCAAGCGACTCTTGGATAGGCACACAAAATGCAGGGTATGAATGGTCGTTTGATCTTCAAGTAGGGTAATAGGTTGGCACAACATCGTGGGCCGAAGGACCTGTACTGTGCTGTACTGTTCTATGTACGGTACCCCCGTGTTATACAGTGACAGACCTGTCCCC